GTTTTACCATGTTGGTCAGGCTGGTCTCAAACTCCTGACCTCAGGTGATCTGCTCGCTTCGGCCTCCCAAAGTGCTGGGATTACAGGCGTGAGCCACCACATCTGACCCATTCTTTTAAATAGGAAATTTCTAGCTTGTAAACAGAGACCATTGCAAAATCTTGTTCTCAACCTCCCAGTGTGCCCAGCACACAAATCACCCATGGCTGTGCCTGCTGACCTGGGACAGTCTGCTTTAAACACCTACCTTTTGGGGGGTAGGGGACACACCTAGATTGCAAATCCCTGAATTCATGGCTTGGGTTCTCATGGATGGTGAAGCTCTCTGGGGAGTTTGGAGCCATGTGTGCCTCCGGCCCTTGCAGGCTGGCTGAGCAGGGTCCAGTGAGCAGGGTGCTGGGCTGCCTGCTACCAAGCCTGGCGTGAGGGCACTGGTCTGGGGCAGGTGCTGTCCACCTGTTGAGCTGCATGCGGGGAGGGAACAGTGCCCTCCTGTAACCGCATGCGGCCGGCTCCTCCTCGCTCGTCCTTATGGTAAGGTAGCTGTAGTCCCCTAAATGGGTGTTATGGCAGCTCAGCCGCTTATTCCTTACCAGTGTTCATCATCAGTGTCTCAGGCCGCCATGACTATGGTGTTATTACAGATACGTGCGCACCCCCCTTCCAAGGGCGCCTTTAACTTCTGATGGGAGCCAGCTGTCACTTCCTTATCCTTATCTTGGGGTCTTTCCAGAGGGCTAGAGATCAGGCCCTCAGATGTTTCATTCCATGGCTGGCTTCCTCTCCTGCCGGACTCAGCGTGGTTCCCAGCCACCCCGGCCCAGAGAGATGCTTGTGAGATGCACGTTTGCTACTCCTCCCCATGTTCTTTTTAAAAATGAGATGATTATAGGATGTACTGTGTGAAAGTTACACACGCAGTTTTGGTGCCGACAGATAAATGATTCTCTTGGGTGAATTACAAGGATATCTATAGGTGACAAGTGTTTGCATTTATTTGCATGACCAGGTTCAGTGGCTGGTAGCTAAAGTGAGTCAAGTAGCTTGGGTATTTGTGTCACCATCCAGGACGTAACAAAGCCCCTAGGTCTCTCTGCTGCGTGCTCTGTGGTGGAGGCAGTGCTCTGGGCTCCCCCTGTCGGCCCTGCCCTTATGAGCAGGCAAACCATGGTGGACCAGGGTATTGATGAGGATGAAAGGGCCATGCCTGCTGTGTGGCATCAGGAGGAGCTGGGAAAGGGAGACTCACTGCGTCTGAGCCTCTTGGGGACATTGTAAACGCTGTTGGTTGGTGTGAAGGAGACGGCTACGCCGCTGGCCTCTGCCCTAAACCTGCCCCTGCGTGGCTGTCAGGGTCAGAGCTCTTGTTAATACGGTATGCTAATCGTTAATATGGTATGTTAATTGTTAATATGGTATGCTAATTGTGCCTTCCTTTCACCCCCAAACAGGAACAGATTATCAGTCTGGTCAATCAGATCTGCGGCAAAGTGTCTGGTAAAAACGGCAGCATTGAGAACTGTCTCAGTAAACCCACACCAAAAAGAGGTCCCCGCAAGAGAGCGACAGTGGACGTGCCCCCCTCCCGGCTGTCAGCCTCCGGTTCATCCAAAAGTGCTTCGAGCTCATCATGAAGATGCCAACGCCCGTCGTCGATTTATATATATTTTTTTGTAATTATTATATTCTAGTTTGGAGTACTTGCTGTAGGATTGAAGCTGTCTTTGCACTAGCTCTAAAGAAGATTTTCTTCTGGTTTTAGAGAACTAATTTTGTTTTAGCATTAAACTGTTGAACTTTTTTTTGTACTTAGAAAACCTAGATACTGCAGTCAGATTTTGGAAACTGCCGTATAGTCACTGTTTTAAAAACCCTGCAGGGGCTGTATTAATTTGTATTGCCCCATGGCTGACAAAAGCCTTTTTTTGTTGTTGTTTTGATTTTTTTTTTTTTTTTTTTTTTTGACTGTTGGGGAAAAAAAGGCTTTTTAACCCATTTTTGAAGAGGGTGAAGTTTGGAGAACAAATTTAAAAACCATCAGTCACGTGAGCAGATTTTTTAGAAGGGATAGGAGACGCGCGCGCGCACACACACACACACACACACACACACACACACAAAACTTGAAATGGCTTTGCTTTGGCTGTCGTCTTCTGCCGTGTGCCAGATGAGCTTGTGATCTGGGAAGCCGGGGCACCCCCGTTTTGTTTCTCTGGGCGGTTGTGGCAGCTGAAGGCGGACGTTGTTTCCTAACCATAGGCGGAACGAGGAGACGGGAGCAAGTGGGCTCTCCACCAGCACATCACTATGCATCTGTTCAAGGAAAGAAGAAAAGCGAGCGAGGAAGACGGAAAAGACTGCCTGCCTCGGAGGGGTCACATGAGGGAGACCTGTGCCTGATTTCATTAGGAAATCCATTCTGTTATTTTTTGGTGCTGTTGGCTACTTTATCAAAAAACCCTTCAATAGCATCCTTAAGATTTAAAAAAAAAAGAAAAAAAAAAAAAAAAACGGAAAAAAGTGATGGAAGCCGTAAGTGCTTCTTTGTCATCGACGTGCAATCTTTCTAACATTCCATCTCCATCTCACCGCTTCTTGTTTGACACCTTCACAAGTCAGCATTAATCTTTCTTTTAAAATTTGTTTCGTTTATGATCACGTAGAGAGCCACTAGGAGGCCTGCAGTTATTTTTGAATGTGAAAATGCATTTGCGTTCATCTTCTCTATTTTTTCTCTTCATGTTGTAACAAAAAGGAAAAAAGAAAAAAAAAATCCCATCCCTTTTGTACATATGCCTGTAAATTGTTTTAAATACTTGAGCCTTTTTCTCGGTGGGGGGTGGGGAGGGGGGTGAGAAGACAAGATGAAGAAAAGCCTTACATTTCAGTTTCTTCATCGGTTGGATTGGATGCTTACAGGGTTTTTCTTGTAACATTTATAAGTGCTGCTTACATCACTGAACAACAACAAAAAAATAATAATGGAGTAGCTGTTGCCCTTCTCCGGTTGTGTGTACAGTATGTGTGGAATAAAAAAGGGAAACTGTTTTCACAAGCTGTTCTTTGTTTCATAATTGGATTCATCAATCCCGTAGCTACCCATATTGCACTGAGCTTGCCAGTGGTGACTGCCAGGAACGTCCTATGATCCACTTTGTTGGTTGTTGTTGCAGAAGACTGAACTGTTTTGGAATATTTAACAATTACAGAAACAGAGTCAAGTGTTTTCCAATGTGGTTGTCCGGTTTCTATGGCCTTGCTGTGTACTTTCCCTCTTTTTGACAGTAAACTTCTGCCTATGGCTTACAGTTTGACATTTAATTTATTAGCGCTGCTCTGCACCCCTCCCTTGGGAGGGAGACTTCATGTGGTTTATTGCGAGTTTTTTGTTTACTTTTCAGGTTTGTACTACAAGGTTTAATAATAAAAACAAAGTTTTTTGGACATTTGTCTGTCTTGTGGAAGATGACTGAATGGAATGAGCTCTTTCTTTTCTCATCCACGGGCAGGGGGCAGAGAATCGCCTGTAGCCAGGGAGCAGAGCCACCCCCACGCTGCAGTCCTGCTCCCACAGCTCCCACAGCTCCCACCTGCCGCTGGGTCCCCTTCAGCGTAACCTAATGGTTTCCACGTGGCCCGGCAGGCTGGGCCAGAGCTGCTCGTGGGCTGCGGCTGTCCCCCTCATTTCCCATCGAGCCGTGCCCCCCGAGCTTTCAGGATGAGCAGACACTGGGTGCATTCCGGGTGGTATGGCTGCAGACAGCCCCCCTCATCTCGGCGGGGAGCTCGCTCGCTTGCTCGCTCGTTGGGCTGGAGGAGTGATGGCAGGAACATATCTCCAGGGGACCAGTTTCTTTTCATAAAGAAGAGAGGATTGCTTTGGGCTTGTTTCTGTTCTTTTGGGCCCAGGCGTATGAAAGTAGGGGTTGGACCGGTTGGCCATTGGACTGGTAATTCTGTAATGATCAAAGGAAAACCCCAAGCTTTGCCAGAGTGGTTTGGCTACAGTCAGCTCTTCTACAGGGAGTGGCCTTTTCCACCTGTGAAATGGCAGGTCATTCCCTGCCTCATGCAGAACTGAGCCCTGTGGAGCCTCCCCTGCCTGGCCCAGACCTGCCCACATGCAACCTCCTGGGGCAGCCCCCAGTGACCTGCGCGTCCCTTCACTCTAAGGAACCCTGAGTTACAGCGACCTTAAGGACGTGTGTATTTAGAAGCCTTTTGTATAAACTAGCTCCGTGCGCTCTCAGTTTACCATCCTCACGCTTTATTGTTAGCTGTTCTTTCAGTTTCTCACACATTATTGGCAATTATTTAAAAACCAAGACCCTCTATAAAACAACCTGGGTCTCCAGGTGGAATTCTGCATACAGCCAAAACCGGATTCCAGTGTGGCCAGACAACGCCCACGTCCCGTCCCAATTTAAGAGTCGCTGTCATCACTACCATCCGGAGTGGCCTCTCTGTCAGTGTGTGACGTGGCCAGGGCAGTGTCCACCTGAACTTCCTCCTCATCAGACTGAACCACGGGGGACTCCCCACCCTCACTGATGTCCTGGGTGGCCATGTCGGTGCAGGTGGAGGAAGAGGAAGGTGGCTTGGCTCGTAATTCTGAGGGATTTGGAACCTGGAGGGTAATCTCATTCTGATAGGTACTGGATTCAGGCCCTGCAAAATAACGTAGGGAAGAAAAAGTCCTGTCATAAAAAGATTGCGGATTAGAATTGCTGCCAACAGCTCTGGAATGTGCCCGTCATGAAAGGGGTGTGTGCTTTTTGTTCCAGGGACCTGGGGCCTGCCCTGGAAGACACTGAGCTGAGTGATGCCAGAGGCAGCCTCAGGCCCTGCGGTGACCCTTCCGTCCCCTAAGGAGTCAGCCACCGGTGACAAAGATCAAGAGCTCCTAGGACTATGTAATAGTGTGTAATAGAGGCCGGAGGGCAAGTGCTGCGTATCTTGGAGGAGCAGTCCCTGTAACCTTGATAATCTAGATGTCTTTCTTTTTACCCTTTTCAGTAATTCAGAGACACCACTGCTGAGACAGTCGGAATTACTGACCTTTCAGCAGGTCGCCAATTTTATGGAACTAAATAGGCTCTTCAAGGAATCAAAATTCTATATTCAGGTGTCACTGTTTCTAAATCTTTCCTTGACTCTGGGTGAGGGTTCATTCTGGTTTCTAGTATTCCGGCCTTCTCAGGATGGGGGCAAATGCACCCAAGCCCCTTCTCTTCCCTGGGATGACACCGTTCTGACAGATTGCCAGGAGAAGTGGGGGAGAAGTGGGTGAGAAGTTTAGAGGAAGCAGAAACCGTGGTAATGGTAGAACCTTCTAGAGATGGCTGAGGTGCTGCCAGGAGGACTGAGCTTTGCCTTGACCCAGCCAGAAGAACTGGTCTGAAATTTGAAATGCAGCGAGCCCAGGTACAGGTCTGGCACCTCGGTCAATATTTGCTGCATGAATGTGAAACAAAATTTTGGGAAGGGATGAAAGGAACTGAAGTCCAACTAAGTTTTACAACACAGGCCAAGAGCTGAACATACACCATGGCTTTGCCCCATAGCAGGCATGCCCCTAAACGCCTGCCGCATCAAGAGGGAAGAGTTCCGTGTGAGCCACGCAGGAGAGTCTGCACCTCCCTGCAAACGCCGGTGCTTAATCACAAGGAGCAGACTCAAATGGATTTCTGGGTGGTAAAGGAGGGAAAACAAGAAAGCTCTCAGCTCACCAAAGTTGCCGGAGTGGAGCATGTCAAATCTTTGAGAAGAATTCATGACGGAACCACACCACTGCTGCAGCTGCCACGCAGCCGTGTGGAACCGTGGGGTAGGGAGCCAGGAGCTGGCTGTGCGCTTGGGGGTTTGTGTGTAAGTGACTGGCAGGTTTCTCACTTCTCCCTCTGGAGGGGAGTGGCATCGGTATAGCCCCAGTTCAGCTGATGCAAGTTTGTCAACCCTACCTAAGGCGGGGGACGGCACAGTATTCTCTTCTCCCGAGTTCAGGAAGACGTCCAGGGCCTCCTGGTCAGATATGTCCATCAGGTCCATCTGCTCCAGCATGTCCACGTTCACTTCCATGGACGACATGCTGCCTATGGGCTCTGCGGAGAGATCAGCGACACGAGGAAGGACACGTCTTCAATATTACTTTAACAGGTGATCTTCCATCGGCAATAGGCTAACTACATTGCATTTTCTAAGCTTCCTTCAAAACGGAATTTGAAGCAACATATTAGTAGATGACATATGCCAGTCTGGCACTTTAAATGCATCCTAAATCACCCTTCGCAACTGTTATACCTTTTACACTTTCCTTAATCTGCTTATCCCCAGCCCTTTGGGACGCTGAAGACCAATCTCCGCATTAAGCGATTTCCGGCTGTTTGGAGTAGGACCCTCCGCCTGTCTCAGAGGCCAACATTCCTGCAGCAACAGTTAGCGACCTTCCTCCCCGCCAGCCAGGGCTCTGCTTCCCGCCTACAGTTGCCCTGAACCTTCCAGGCGGGCACAGTCCTCTAATTGCAAGTGGAGTTTCCACTGCCCTTGGAACATTTCTCAGGCCTAATGGCTGAAGGGGTTTGAACATCTGTAAGCTGCCAGAGCTCCCTGCAGTGGAAGCACAGACTAGGAGAGAACAAAACCCAGCCCACCAGCAGACGGCGACCCCAGTCTGGCCAGCCTCAGCCTAGCCCTGAGCACAGGACGCCTCACAGGTCTTTCCTCAGAGGCAAACTACCTCTGTGGTCCAGAAAACAACAAGCCACGTAAGTTATCCGAGCCGTGGGGATGCCTGGCAGAAGCAAATGCAAATTTTTTCTGGAATGACCCTCCCTTAACCTTGGTTTATACAAAGTCAATCCCAACCCAATCTGGCATTTGTGACACATGAAATGAGCCACTCCGAGTGAGGGCAGCAGAAACAAACAGTATCCTTGCTAAAGAACTTGAGATGGCTGTTCACACACTGCAGTCACAGGAAAGGTAGAGTCAAAAACAAGGTGTCAAAAATAAGGACAGACATTTGAAAGAGAGCCAAATAATGACTAGGTAGAAGAGACTGAAATCTCAAACTTGGGGCACAGTCACAGCCCCACAGAAAATAAATAAACTAGATGGCAGGATGAGTAAATCTGCAATGCAGCTTAGAGGAACAAAGGGAAATGCGAGCGAGCATAAGAGGTATGTGAGACACAGAAGCGTAGCATCTGGTCACGTTTCCCCAGAGCCAAGAAGGGAAGAGAACTCTATTCAAAGAAGCTGATGATTTTCCCAAATCGATGAAAGACCTCAGGACCCAGATTTAAAAAGCAAAACATTCCAAGCGAGATCAAAGCAATCCTCACCTACATCAATTGCTTTGAAGTTGAAGAACATCAAAGACAAAGGCTCTCTAAAAAGCAGCCAGAGAGAGAGGGCAGGTTAAGAAAGAGAAGGAAATAATTAGGATGACAGGCAACTTCTGAACAACAATAATAAAAGCCAGAAGACTGTGGAGTAAGTTCAAAGAGGAGAGAGAAATGTCATCTCTAAAATGGTGTAACATTAGGTATCATTTAAGCTCCAGGAGAGGAGAAGCAGAGACCAAGAAGAAACACGTCATCACGAGCCTGCTCTCGCTGGAGGCACAGCGAAGGAAGGACTGAGTGCAAGAAAGCATGTTAAGCAAAGAGACGCGTGAGTGTGTGAGTTAATGTAAAACCTGGAATGGAACAGTCATAACAAGGAGTCACCAGGGCCAAATCACCCTCCCGAACAAAGACACGGGGCGGAGAGGAGGGTGCTCAGAGCCACAGGATATGAGATTACGGCTTCCTCTGGGAGGAAAGTGAGTCTCACTATCTTCAGGCTCAGAAAATCACTGAAGTTCAGCACTCAAATGAGAGGTAAGAGTAATTCCTGTTTCCAGTTGGGGAAAAGTGTTACGGTTTAGATGGTCCCATGCTTGGCAGCAGCATCCCCACCGACTGAGCCAGCCTGCTCTGCCTTGGACTTGGCCAGGGTTGAGCTCAGCCACACGGGGACAGCAGTTCACTGGGCTTGATCTTCAGGGCTGAGTGGTCAGGGGAATTTGATGGCACCCTGGTCAGGCTTGTTCTTTTTGGGGGCACACTTCTGAGGGTTTCCTTTCTGACCTATGGAAGCCTTTTGCCAAGGCCTTTCTGTCTTTTAGATTTTGGCTTCTGACTTCAGTTTTGAAAATTTGTCTGTGCCATCTTCTTGAAAAGGGCAGGAGTATAACTTAAAACAGGAGAGAAAAAATTGGACTAAGAAGCATAGGAAAAGCTTTCAGGAAAATTCTGTAGCACCAAATAAGATGGTAATGAGTGTGTCAGTGATCACAGGAAATGTCAGTGAGCCAAACTTGCCAGTTCAGAGATTATACGACTGAACTGAAGTAAAATCCAGCTACCTTCTGTTCACAGGAGACAAATATGGAGACACAGAAACATGAAAATGTTTCTTAAAAAATGAAAAGATATAATGAGCAAACAAAGAAGAAAGCTGATATAGCTATACTAATATCAAAATAGATTTTAATGGGAAACAAAAGTAATACTGGGATAAAGAGTAGTACTTAGTGACTTTTAAATGGTTCAATTCACCAGGAAGATAATCTAAAACTTCTATTTCGGGTTACGTTTTTAAAGTTAAAAAATGGCATAATGGCAATGAAAACATGATATCCGTGATCTTGGGTGCATGTCACTATACCTATTCGATGGCTGACATCAGCAGTCCCAAAGTTAGTAAGAGAAATCGAAATCCTATTCTCCAATCACAATGAAATTTAGTTAGAAATTGGTAACTGCTAGGAAAACTTTCACATATCTAATTATTTTAAAAAACATTTATAAACAGTTCACAAATCAAATATGAAATGCTAATGACAAAATTTACCCAGGAATTATTAGTGCCAAAATTTGTAGGATTCAACTAAAACGGTCCCCCTGCAAGAAATCCATAGCTTTGAATGCCTTACCAGAGAGGAACGCTGAAAATCAAGCCATTCATCAACTTGGGTTAGAAAAAAACAAATGCCCAAAGAAAGCAAAACTGAAGAGAAGTTAATGAAACAGCAGAAAGAACAAAGAAGCTGGTTAGGTTCTGGGGTAAGACTCGTCGTAAGTAGAGATGAAAGGAATAAAAGGCACATGAACAATTTTAAGAATGCAAAAGCAAACCTACCCAGGAACACAGCTGAGGGGGAGACGCGCACCATGGGCAACGTTATGCTGACACAGCGGACAACTAAAGACAAGTCCATGGAAAACTTGCCAAAATTAACGAGAAATAGGAAATCTCTATAACCATCAGAAAAAGAGAATAGGTAAAGTCACTGGTCTCAGCATCGGAGGCAAGTTCTACCCGCCATTCAGGAATGCATGAGACACGTGCGCTCGCAGAAAGATCCAATACCACTAAGAGGCCCATTGTGTCTCCATCCAGAAACTTACTGCAATTCTGCTCAAATTGTAGACAAGGTTCTTCAACAAACTTGAAACTGTGACATTTATACCAAATGACAAGACCCCAAGAAGAGTCATGGCAACTATGAAGAAAATAAATGCGTGCAGACACGCAGGGCAGGGCGGGAAATGCGTGCGGACACGCAGGGCAGAGTGGTAATGGCTCCAGCAGACTCAGGCTTCACTGGAAAACGTTTGCTCAGTCCCAGCACTCCTGACACTTTGCACCAGATCGTTCTTGGTGGTGGGGTTGTCCTGGGTAGTGTGGGATGCTTAACTGCGTCCCTGGCCTCTGCCCACTAGATGCCAGTAGCACACCCTTACCCCAGGCATAACAAGCAAAATGGGTCTCCAGACATTGCCAAATGTCCCCTCGGGGGCAAAAGTGTCTCCAGCTGAGAACCAACACTTGAGATGACTAAGTATATAACAGTGTAGTTTTGGCTCAGGGACCGGCAGCAGAAGAACGCAGCCAAAGAGAGGCTTGAAGACTCCCGAATAGTGTCGTTTCATTCCAACAGATTAGCAAAAATTTAAAAATCTGATGCTACCAAGTGCCAGTAAAGATGTAATCAGAACGTGCATACGTGGCTGGGGAGACTATAAACTCGTGCAAATGTCTGGCAAGGAATTGGACAGAATCTAGTAAAATGAAAGATAGCCGTGTCATTATGACCAGTAATTCCTCTCCTAGTTATATACCCTAAAGAAGTGATTCCCAAAGTGTGGTCCCCCTCAGCATCACCTGGGAACTTGGTTATAATGCAAATCCTCAGGCCCCACCCACACCTGCACAGTCACAAACCCTGCAGTGGGCCCAGGAATCCATGTTGGAACCACAGACCCTCCAGGGGTCTGTGAGGCTGCTCAAGTCTGAGAACAGCTGGTCTTAAAGCAACTTGCGGATGTGTACAGACAGACAAATTATAAGAATGTCCAAGGCCAGGTGTGGTGGCTCACGCCTGTAAGCCCAGCACTTTGGGAGGCCCAGGTGGGAGGATCACTTGGGCCTAGGAGGGTCAAGACCAGCCTGGGCCACATAGTGAGACCCTATCTCTCTAAAAAATTAAAAAATTAGCCAGGTATGGTGGCGCACACCTGTAGTCCCAGCTACTCACTCGGGAGTCTGAGGTGGTAGGACCACTTGAGCCCAGGAGTGCCAGACTGCAATGAGTTATGATTATGCCACTGCACTCCAGCCTGGGTGACAGAGCGAGACTCCGTCCTAAGAAAAAAAAATCCGTGCTGGCATTGTTTTTATGAAAGAAGAAAACTGGAAACAAATACCCATCAATACAACAATGAACAAATTACATTTATTCAATGGAAATAACTATTTAAGAATAGAAATCAAATTAGAGGTGAATGTATCAGTATGGATGATTCTCAAAATCACAGCACTTAGGTGCACTTTTGCCTGTCAATTCTATCTTTTCTAACTTTATTGTAATGTTATCACTAGCCCCAAACCTCGTTCTCCTCCCAGCGCACTGGGTCCACTCTGGAGCATCCCAGAGCGGAGTCAGTCCTTCTGGAAGCAGGCGCACCCCTGGCTGCATAGGATGCCATTTTGCTGAACTACTGGTTCAGAGACACAAGAGCCTGAAATCTATGGGAATACAGAGCCAGAAAACCCAGGCACAGACCAGGACATCTCCGAGGTGATTTATTAATAAGTAACTGCAGGATACCCTGACATTCAGCAATAAAATGAAAGCAATAAAAATGCTTTTCTAAGAAAATGGCAGTCATGTCAGGCAGAAGATCAAACCTGGGCTAGGGTCTTACAAAACACCTAATGATGTCCTAATGGCACGGAGAGCTCTGCGGGGCCTGTGGTGGCACCCAGACCCCCTCTGCTGCTCAGCCCTCCCGGCACCGCCTTCAGTCCTCAAGCCTGACAGCCTCTGTGCTTGGGGGGCCATCCGGCCTCAGCACCATCCAAGTGGCACAGAAGTGCCTTCACCCCTTCCTCTGATGATTCTCTGGATAAAACTTGCCATGGCCTTGTCTTAATTAAGAAACGATGCTTCTGAAAGGGAAATTCCAACTGCTATTTCTGATTTAGTGGAATGAGTCCAAAACACCATGTTTGCTGCAGAGTTTTTAAATTTTTGATTGATTCTCCTAAATTAATACTAATCCGTGGAGATGAAGCTTCCTCCCTAAGAAAGGCGCTGTGGCTCGTCAGGCTGGGAAGTCTGAGCCGGCTCTGCACAGCCGTGCAATGGGATGTCCGATTCCCGTGTGTGGCTGTCCCTCAGCTCTAGCTGAAGAGAAAGCTAAAAAGCCCAGAGCCTCCAATTTTCTTCTTCAAAGCTTTCAAAACCATATATTGACAAGATGTGCCTGATTTTTACCTTAAAAACATGAGCCCAACATTTTCTTGAAACTTAATCTTTGAGATACTCAAAACCACGAAAATTTAACCACTTCGTATTTCCTTGCAGGTATTTGCTGCAGGTAGCTGCTAGACGGTTCCCTCTGCCAGCCCGGTGCCTTGCTAGCTGTGGAGGAGGTGCAGTGCGTGCCTGTCCCTGTCACCAGGGGCTGGTCATCAACAGAAGCTGCTCCTTCCAAGCTGGCCGCGCACCTACTACATCATCATCAGCCGTGTGTCCGTGGCTCTCCCTATAATGGGAGCTTCCTGAGAGGTACTTTCATTTCTCTGTGCTTCCTCTGGGCTCACCAGCAAGTGCTAAACTGAAGGAAGATAGAGTTAAGTTGTTCACCAATTAGAGTTTCTGTGGCTGTCCATCAGTGCATCTCTTCGATGACATTGCTGCGATGTGTCATTATGTTCAAATTTGCGGGTCGGCCAGGGTGTATCTGTATGGATTGAATGTGTCCTCCTAAAATTTGTATGTTGAAGCCCTAACCCCCAAGATGAGGATACCTGGAGTTGGGACCGCTGGGAGGTGATTAGGTTAGACGAGGTCAGGTGGACATGGCTCCTGTGGTTGAGATTAGCCCTAATACCAAGAGACAGCAGAGGGCTCCACCCTGCTGTTGGCCACGTGCACACATAGGGAGAAGGGGGCCGCCTATGAGCCAGGAAGACAGCCCTCATCAGACACCGATCACACCGGCACCCTGATGTTGGATCTGAGGCCTTCAGAACTGAGGGAAAAGAAATGTCGACTGTTCAAGCCACCCAGTCCACATGGTTTCGTTATGGCAGCGGGGCTAAAACAGTGTCCTTCTCTGCTTCTACCCATAACGGGATAAAAATCCCTGGAGCAAACCTCTGCTTCCTCCCAAAGGAGCCATGGAAAGCCACTCTCTCCAACTCGCAGCCAACACGGAGCTAAGAGAATCCTGTACGTCCACTCGGAGGAACGCACGGAGGACAAAGGCAGGGTCACGGGTTACAAGAACGGCAAAGGCTGACTCTAGAGAACTTGTTAAGCTTCAAACCCACCCTGTGCGTTGGAAGGTAAACAAGCATCTTCCTCACAGCTGACTGCGTTCACCAGCACACTATGAGGTCTTCAGCTACTGCTGTTCATCTGTTTTTCTCAACATTATTTTCTTTCCTCATTCTTGGATTTCTTTTTATTTATTTATTTATTTTTTGAGATGGAGTCTCGCTGTCGCCAGGCTGGAGTGCAGTGGCGCGATCTCAGCTCACTGCAACCTCTGCCTCCCGGGTTCAAGCGATTCTCCTGCCTTAGCCTCTTGAGTAGCTGGGATTACAAGCGCGTGTCACCACGCCTGGCTAATTTTTGCATTTTTAGTAGAGACGAGGTTTCATCATGTTGGCCAGGCTGGTCTCCATCTCTTGACCTTATGATCCACCCACCTTGGTCTCCCAAAGTGCTGAGATTACAGGCATGCGCCACCGTGCCTGGCTTCATTCTTGGATTTCTTTAACTTCTCCTTGGAGGGGACATAGAACTGGATGACAAGGAAGAAACACTCCTGGAGGATGTGGTTGGGGGCGGGATAGAGAGAACAAAGGCCTGGGCCAGGCAAGCCTGGGGAGAGGATGAAGGCTGAGATTTGAGAGGTGAGGGAGGTGTCCAGGAGGTGATGAGAAATTCAGGAGAATGGGAGGGCAGGAAAACAGGGGAAGGTTTGGACGGGTCTCCCCGCTGCCCGGGGTCTGGTCCTGCCTGTGTGGCGCAGGCTGGTGGGAAAATGTGAACTGCCCGGCGCCACTGCCCTGCTCACCCCTGCTGCACCTCTGAGTCACTGGGTTCTTCCAAAGGAAAAGCTGGGAAGGAGTTCGGTGTCTGGACGTCTAATCGGCTTGTTCTTTACAGCACTATTTACCGAGGGAAAGATTTTAAATGTTCAGCTAGGAAAACTGGTGGAATATATTAGGATACATCATGACAAAAAGATGCAGCCTTTGACACACAACCTCTCAAAGTATTTTTAACAACAGGGGGAAAGAGTCCTATATAACATGAAGAAAAGTTAGAGACAAAGCCATATATGTGTACGGTCCAGTCAGATCGCAATTAAATAAGCAGACTCGACAGAGACTAGAAAGAACGCATGAAAAGCAGTAACAGGGATTATTCTGTCCTGGAGAATTAAGGGCAATTTTCCTTTTGTCCATTTTGGTAATTTCTAGAAGCCTAATTTGTGTTTGTAATCTTTGTTTTTTTGAGACAGTCTCACTCTGCCACCCAGGCTGGAGAGCGATGGCGCGATCTCGGCTCACGGAAACCTCTGCCTCCCGGGTTCCAGCGATTCCCGTGCTTCAGCCTCCTGAGTAGCTGGGATTACAGACATGCGCCACCACGCCTGGCCACTTTTGGTATTTTAGTAGAGATGGGATTTTACCACGATGGCCAGGCTGGTCTCAAACTTCTGACCTCGGGTGATCTGCCTGCCTTGGCCTGCCAAAGTGCTGGGATCACAGGCGTGAGCCACCACGCCTGGCTGTATCTGTAATCTTTAGCGGTATTAAAAAAAATATCTTCAACTAAAGCCTAGACTGATAGAAGAGGCAAAATCAGGGCAAGAGATAGGTGGCCCGATGCACACATTTTGGTTGCTGGAGTCTAATAACAGAACGGGACTTCTGAGGACTCTGCCCCATGTCCTGCTCCGGGAGAGGAGCCCATCGCCACCCCGCACAGCCAGTGAGTCCCTGCTCCAGCAGCCCCGGCCCCAACTCGCCTCGCCGCTCCGCGATCTGCAGGTAGCCGGTGGACAGGTACTGCTCCATGTCCTGCTGGAAGGCTTCCTCAAAAAACTTCTGCCGCTCCTTCAGCTTCATTTGCTGGGTGTGCTCCATTTCCAGGACCTTCTGGGCGTGCTCTGCATCTAGTTCAGCTGAGAAACAGAATAACTGGGGTTAGGGTTTGAAAAGGGACCGAGAGAGGAAATGGGTATAAACAGCTGCTCACATCCCCCCTCCAAGTGGATGGAGTCATGCTGCATTGACAGACCTGGGCTGGTGCCCCGGCCGTCTGTACAGCTGGCCTCCTTGCCCCTCCAATCTGCTGCACTGCTCCCCTCTACCTGGGCAGTCAGGCCCTTAGTGCCACACCTTTGCATGTGCTGTTCCCTTTGCTGGAACAACCTTCCCCCCTCCCCCCGCATCGCCCATTCGTCAGTCACAAACAGCTGTTCACCTTCCAAGATTAGCTTCTCAGGTTGTCCTTCTGCTAACTCCAGTGGAGTCTGCTGCTCCATCTAGATGTTTCCACATCCCTGTGTTTAAACTTCTGCAGCTGACTTACAAATTGCAGTGCAATTACTAAGGACTTGGAGTCCCTGCACGACTGTGACCATATATGACTCATTTCAACATGCTGTCGCTCAGCTCAGTGCCTGGCACACAGTAAGTTCTCAAGGCATGTTTGTTAAAAGTATGTAACAGTGGAATACTATTCACCCTTAAAAAGAAATTCCGACACATGCTATAACATGGATGAACCTTGAGCACATACGCTAAGTGGAATAAGCCAGTTACAAACAGGCAAATGCTGTACGGTTCCACTCATATGAGGTGCCTAGCGCAGTCAGGTTCATGGAGACAAGAAGAGTGGTGCTCTCAGGGCGGGGCAGAGGGCGTGGGGGCTTAGTGGTTAACGGGTATAGACTTTCCATTTTACAAGATGAAAGAGATCTGGAGATGGATGGTGGTGATGGATGTACAGCATGAATATATTTAATACCACTCAACTGGACACTTACAAATTATATGTATACACAAAATGATAAATTTTATGTGTATTTTACCACAGTAAAAAGTTGGGAACAGGGCCGGGCGTGGTGGCTCACGCCTGTAATCCCAGCACTTTGGGAGGCCGAGGCAGGCGGATCACCTGAGGTCAGGAGTTCAAGACCAGCCTGGCCAATATGGTGAAACCCCATCTCTACTAAAAATACAAAAATTAGCCGGGCATGGTGGCAGGCGCCTATATTCCCAGCTACTCGGGAGGCTGAGGCAGGACAATCACTTGAACCCAGGAGGCAGAGGTTGTAGTGGGCCGAGATGGCGCCACTGCACTCCACCCTAGGCGACAGAGCGAGACTCCATCCCAAAAAAAAAAAAAAAAGTTGGGAAAAAAAAGTAAATATGTAGCCATCATGGTACATTACAAAGTGTTTAGTCTTGGCTTTTTAGTGTTTACTGGCCACACAACCTAATCAGTTAACCTTCTCATCTGAAAATTTGCGATAGAAATATTAACCCAATATTGACATGAAACATATAAAAGGATGTGAAATAATTTTATAACTTAAGTGACCAGTGACCCTTCAAGGTAGGCCTGAGTCAGTAATATAGAAGGCAAGAACACTAACATAATCAACTTTCACCTGGTCATTCAAGCAAGAACCCCAAATCTCCCAGCTATAAACACTTTCCAGTGGTTTAACCTTTCCTCAAGGCATGTGATATCGTTTAGCTCTGTGTCCCCGCCCAAATCTCATATCAAATTGTAATCCTCACATGTCAGGGGAGGGAAGTCATTGGGTCATGGGGACAGTCTCCCTCCCCTATGCTGTTGTCGTGATAGTGAGTAGTTCTCACTAGATCTGATGTTGTATAAGGATCTGACAGTTCCTCCTTCACATGCTCATACTCTCCGCCTTGTGAAGCAGCCTGCTTCCCCTTCCACCATGATTGTAAGTTTCCTGAGGCCTCCCAGCCATGCAGAACTGTGGGCTTATTAAACCTCCTTTGTTTATAAATTACCCAGTCTCAGGGTTTGTTGTTGTTTTGTTTTGTTTTGTTTTTTGGAGACGGAGTCTCACTTTCTTCCCCAGGCTGGAGCACAGTGGTACGATCTCAGTTCACTGCAACCTCTGCCTCCTGGCTTCAAGCAATTACTATGCCTCGACCTCCCAAGTAGCTGGGATTACAGGTGCGCGCCACTATGCCCAGCTAATTTTTTGTATTTTTAGTAGAGACAGGGTTTTGCAATGTTGGTCAGGCTGGTCTCAAACTCCTACCTCAAGTGATCTGCCTGCCTCGGCCTCCCAAAGTGCTGGAATTACAGGTGTGAACCACTGCACCCGGCCTCAGGTATTTCTTTATAGCAGTGTGAACAGTGACTAATGCAGTAAATTGGTACTGGAGAGAGTGGGGTATTGATATAAAGATACTTGAAAACGTGGAAGGGACTTTGGAACTGGGTAATGGGCAGAGGTTGGAACAGTCTGGAGGGCTCAGAAAAAGACAGGAAGATGTGGGAAGGTTTGGAACCTCCTAGAAATTTGTTGAATGGTTTCAACCAAAATGCTGATAGTGATGTGAACAATGAAGTCCAGACTGAGGTGGTCTCAGATGGAGACGAGGAACTTATTGGGAACTGGAGTAAAGCTCACTCATGCTATGCTTTAGCAAAGAGACTGGTAGCATTTTGCCCCTCCCCTAGAGATCTGTGGAACTTTGAACTTGAGAGAGATAATTAAGGCTATCTGGTGGAAGAAATTTCTAAGCAGCAAAGCATTCAAGACATGACCTGGATTATTGTGAAAGCATTCAATTTTATGCGTTCACAAGGAGATGGTTTGAGATTGGAGCTTATGTTTACAAGAGAAGCACACCATAAAAATTTGGAAATTCTGTAGCCTGATGATACACTAGAAAAGAATAACCCATTTTCTGGGGAGAAATTCAAGCCAGCTGCAAAAATTTGCATAAATAATGAGGAGTTGAATGTTAAGTGCCAAGACAATGGGGAAAATGTCTCCAGGGCATGTCAGAGATTTTGGCAGCAGCCCCTCCCATCACAGGCCCAGAGACCTAGGAAGAAAAATTGTTTTGTGGGCCAAGCCCAGGGCCCAGCTGCTCTGTGCAGCCTTGGGACACGGCACCCTGCATTCCAGCCACTCTTAACTATAGCTGTGGCTACAAGGGGCCAAGGTACAGCTCGGGCTATTACTTCAGGGGGTGCAAGCCGCAAGCTTTGGCGGCTTCCACATGGTGTTAGGCTTGTGGGTGCACGGAAGTCAAGAATTGAGGTTTGGAAACCTTGGCCTAGATCTCACAGGATGTATGAAAATGCCTGGATGTCCAGGCAGAGGTCTGCTGCAGGGACAGAGCCCTCATGGAGATCTCTATTAGGGCAGTGCAAACAGTAAATATAGGGTTGGTGCCCCCACACAGAGTCCCCACTGGGGCACTGCCTAGTGGAGCTGTGAGAAGAGGGCCACTGCCCTCCAGAGCCCAGAATGGTAGATCCACTGACAGCTTGCACCATGCACCTGAAAAAGATGCAGGCACTCAATGCCAACCTGTGAAAGAGCTTGCCCAAGGCCGTGGGAGCCACCCCTTGCCTCTGTATGACCTGGATGTAAGACACGAAGTAAAAGGAGATTATTTTGGAGCTTTAAGATTTAATGACTGCCCTGCTGGATTTCAGACTTGCTTGGGCCTGTACACCCTTTGTTTTGGCCAATTTCTCCCATTTGAAATGGGAACATTTATCCAATGCCTGTACTCTCATTGTATCTTGTAAGTAACTAACTTGCTTTTGACTTTATGTGCTCCTAGGTCAAAGAGACTTGCCTTGTGTCAGATGAGACTTTGGACTTAAGACTTCTGGGTTAGGCCCGGCACGGTGCTCACGCCTGTAATCCCAGCACTTTGGGAGGTCAAAGCAGATGGATCAAGAGGTCAAGGGCTGATAAGAGCAGCTCTGGGCTAACAGCAGGTGAAAGAAAAGGGGCCTCCACACTACAATCACCAGGAGCCTGAACTCTGGCAGCGACCTGAAGGGCCCTCACATAGATTCTTCTCCAGTGCCTCCAGAAAAAAACGCAGCTCAACCTCATGGAACACTGGGCAGACAACCCAGTCACACCTTGCCTAGACTTCTGCCCTACAAACTGGAAGCTGATAAATTTGTTTCGTTTTAAACTATGTTTGTGGTTATCTATTACACAGCAATATGGGATTACTCCAAACAGGCTGTCTGTATGAATTCAGGTCCCTGATCAAATCTGGTTGACTGTAAAATCGAAAAAGGACAATCTGAGTGCCTTCCCTTACGTAAATATTTCCTAACTCCTCCCCTGTGTCTGTGGCAGACCCCTGCTCTGCTGAGTTTGGGTGCTGTTATTCCAGAAAACATCTGCAGAATGTTTCAGCTACCCTGTGTCCTGGGATACACTGTAACAAACCATTTCACCCAAGGCATTGTTCCCTCTGGTTCAGCTCTTGGGAGTGTCAACATCTTGGGGGTGTTATCAAGATTAACAAAACAAACACAGCAGCTCTTACAATGGACAATGGTGAATGAGGTCCGTTATCTGCCTTAGTCCCGCCCACCCCCACATTCCCAGCACCACATTCTCAACTCCGGAGTCCAGCAAGCTGGTATGCATGGCAGATCTTAAAACCCAGGGATGGAGTTTATCATCTCAAATCAGGTATAGTGTCTAATACTTAGAATACTGTGGGCTTTCTTCTTATATTCTGATCTACATACATGCAAGAAACACAAACTAATGCTAACCAAAGCAACATAGGAAAAGTAATTTTCCTAATTAGCATGTAGTCACATGTATATTTCCTCTGTGCATTCTGCTCATACTGTTGCCATTACTGGGTGCCTTCTCTCCATTTCCCGCTAGCCTCGTCTCACATGTGTTTATGTGGAGACGGTCTGCCACAGCGGGAAGAGCTTCTGCTCACAGGTTTCAGGTTGGGCCCAACTCGGGTCCTACACTCCTAGCGCCTCTTGGCACAGCCCTCTGCTCTACCTCTGCATTCAGCTGCAGCTATGGGAACCAGCGTTGTGTGCATTCACTGGAATGCACAGAGGGTCCCACCTCACAGCCACGCCTGTGTGGCTGTGTTTTTCTGGTCAGAGTAT